GGAAATTTATTTTAAAAAATTTTTTTTCTTGAGGGATTCCCAAATAGTGGTTGCACAGAATGAATAAGAGAAAAATGAAGGTACAGACTGATCTTACTTATTAGCAGTCTTAACTGGCAATAGGGTTGCCAGAACAAATTTCCTGAGGCATAGCTCTCATTTGGAGTCTCCCCTGCCCAGTAACTCCTGAAGGCTCCTGGTGACCACAGGAGAAGGCCAACCCATTGGTTGGTGTCCAAGGCTTTCCACCCTAAGCCCCTTTCCAGCCTCCCTCTCTGTCTCCTATTCTTTGAGCAGCCTGTGCTCCCGTCCCAGGGTCCCAAACACTGTGTCCTGGCCACACTCAGAATCTTTAAGGCCTCTGCTCTTGCTTTGGTCTCTCACCGGATGCCTTAACCCTCATCTTTCTGTCCCAAAGCCCAGCTAAAATTCACTGTCTCCATAAGACTTTCTAGGTCCTCTGGCACACACCTCATTCTTGCTGGGATGAGTACTCCATTCTTCATGTTCCCATATAAGTTTCCTTGCCTTACCGTACAGCACATATTTCATTACATTAAGATTCATGGTCTATCCCCTTAAGTAAGATGTAAGTGTATTAAGAGCAGAGGGTATGACTTAAGTACTTTGGTGTGTTTAGCCATACCTAAAATAGTATTCCAAACTGTTTGATTTAACTGCAGTCTTAAAACTTGGTAAAGATACACAATTTTGGACAGTCTTCAAATGTTTATATGCTGGGCTCAAAGACAGAACTGGATGTGGAGATTTCTAAGGCTATGTCTGTTTCAGCACCAAACACCTGGACCCATTCCGCTTCTTTCAGGTGCTTCCAAACCTCCTGCTGTTTGGCATCAGCTAAACACAGTAACCAGGTGAATGGCTGATTATTTTCATTTTATAGACTCAGAAGATTTTAGAGGTGAGAAGGACTTTAAGGAGCTAAATGCCTCGTATTGCAGAGAAGAGCATTTTTCCAAGGCTGCAGAGTTGATTAGAGATCCAAATGTGTGGACCACTCGGTGGTCCTGTCTGCTGGGCCTTCTCAGAGCTGACTTCAGGTTCCACATTAAGGGTGTCACCAATGGACTCCTGTTCTCTGGCCCAGGCTGGGATTGGCTCAAGTTCCATAGGTAAACACCGTCCCCTGACAACAATGCCATTAACCAACTCTTTGCCAGAGGCTGATATCATTGGGTTAACATTAAAAACAAACCAAGAATGGATCTCAGGGAAATTGGGAAGCAAAGCTAACAATTCATTAGCCATTGCCTCACTGATGCCACTACAGCTGCTGAATTCAGTCAAGTTCAGACCCTTAAAAAGAGTGGAAAAAAGAAAGCACATAGTTTCCAGTGTCTGGGTACCGTGTAGTTGAGCCAGCTGGTTGCAGCACCGTGGCAAAAAGATCTCTTTAGTTTCAGAAATCTGAGACCCTGGCCTTGCATAGAGGAGGGGTGAGAGGCTGCAACTGTGCCTGGTGTGCTGCTCCCTTTCTTTCTGGGCTTGCCTCCGCCCGGGGTCACACCAGATAGTGCTCCCGTGTGAGGTCCGGGGGGATTCAGAGAGAGACTCAGCCCTCCAAGGAGACAGAAGAAGCAAGCTGTCTTCGGAAAGGTGTTGTGTGTGTGTGTGTGTGTGTGTGTGGCCGTGTGTTTTTAAGAGGACCTCTTGGTTTCTGTGTAACATGTGCTTTCTCTTGCCCAGAGTTAGCCTGTTAAGGGAATAAAGCACAGTTTAGGTTTCCAAGTTGGAAGCCTGATTAATCTCTCTGCCAGTTACATATGGAAATAAATTAGTAAATGGTCCATCTGGGACCAAACGACTGCAAAGATGATAAATTATTGCCATCCTATGTGTCGGTGTTGCTGAAGACTGAGTTGTGCTCACCAGGAGCTGCCGAAAGATAACTGGATGCTCTATTGTGGTCAGAGGAATAGCATTTAAAGAAAAAAATTTACCTTGAAATGTTCCTGGGGAGAATGAATTGGTTGAAGCCAAGTTTGTTCCTCAGAACTGCTGTATCTGCACATATTTAAAAGGAGAATCTCAAGGGCATAGGAACATTTTAGTTTTATATTTTCAAAGAGTAACAAGTGTTAATTAGTACCTGGTGTCCCAATGAAAAGGCTAATTCTATACATCTGTGTAGGCTTGCGCTTTATAATTTTCATAGCAACTTCTTATCTACTTTTAATTTAAATTTCAAGGAGGGGGGGGCAGGTCGACACCTGCATTTTTGACAGATGGAAACTGAAGTTCAGAGAGCTCAGTGAACTGCCCATATTGCCTCAGATGGTTAAATGGCAGGGCCAGGATGAGAAGCAGATATTGCCAGTTCTGAGTCTGGCTTCTTTTCAATCAGAGCCGTGGTGTGACATCAGACACATTCTCAGTGACCCATCATTCATCTACCAACATCAGGAAATAAAGCTTTCTATTGATGTCGGTTTTCTAGAAGCCAAAACCAAACTTCTTGATCATGAGAAGTCTGTTTTCTCCAACCAGAGATGTTGAGTATCAGTTCAACTTTTTGAGGAGGACCAAGTAGGGTACACCACTGTCGATTTTATAAAGTTGAAAACAAGGTGGCCTCAGGGGCTTTGAGATATGATAAGGTTGTTTTTGTTTTGTTTTTTGGGTGTTATTATTATTAGTATTATTTTGGTCCCTTTATCAAATGGCTTGCAGCTACTGTGACACCTGTATTTTTGTGCCTACTTTAAAATCTTCTTTTGTGTTCTTCCTCCTGGGTGGACCCTTAGCTATGAATCCTTGAAGCAGCTGAGAATCTCCACTTTGGAAATCGCCACTTTTGCAAATAAGTACAGAAAAATAAACTGGCTACAGAAATCTTTAAATTGCCTTGTTTAACCGACATCAGTTCCTGAACATAAGTCCCCGCTGAAAGCTTACACAGGAAAAGGAGCTGTGGTGCCCAGGCTTTTACCTGTCTGCATCCAGGAGTCACCTGTGTCACCAGCTCACCTTCCTGTCTCTCACGAATCAGCAGACCTGGCTGCTTCATGTCCTGTGTAACCCTCTTGTTTTGGCTGCTGCTTATTGCTGCCTGTCACAGGCTTGGCCCGATCTCAAGATTATTTTTATTTATTTTTTCCCTCATTGAGTTTATTGGTACATTTTAGGTATACAGTACAGTTACATTCATCATTGGGATCTTGTACCTTTACATGACCGGTCCTGGTTCTCATTTTTTCTCCTTGTCCGTGCCCTCCCTTCATGCCCTCCTCCCCTCCCCATTTACAAACACTTTATTTCTGTTTTTTAATTTTCTCCTATTTCTTTCTTTTCCTTTATTACCTTTCCCCTACCCTTCTCACCTTCCCTACACCTTTAGCTCTTTTCTTCCTGTTTCACCTTGTCAATTATATCATTAGGATCTTATGTACTATTATAGTTTATTTACACCAGAGAAACTATTCAATATTTACGTATGTGTGACTTATTTATTTCACTTAGGAGTATATCCTCAATATGTATCGATTTTCCTATGAATGAATCTAATTTCTCATTCTTTATTGCTGAGTTGTATTCCATTTTATTAAAAAACCACATCAGTTTCCAACTGATGAACAAATGGGCTGTTTCCAAGTTTTAGCTATTACAAACTGTGCTGCTATAAACATGGGTGTGCATACATCACTGTGACATGATTCTTTTTGCTCTTTTGGAAAGACACCCAGCAGAGGGATGGCTGGGTCAAATGGAACCTCTAGTCCCAGCTCTTTGAGATATCTCCATATTGATTTCCATAGTGGTTGCACCAGTCTGCACTCCCACCAACAATGGAGAAGGGTGCCTTTCTCTCCAAACCCCCACCAACATTTGTTATTGTTTGATTTCTTGATAGCAGCCATTCTTTGTGGGGTGAGGTGGAATCTCAGTGTTATTTTCATCTGCATCTCTTGAATGACCAGTGATGTGGAACATTTTTTCATATCCAATCTCAAGATTATTGAGACATTGTTACAGGCATTGTTACAGACATTGTCTTCACTGGATCATCTCTTACTGTCACCTTCCACCCAGTCAGAAATGAAAGAGTCTTCTGGAGTCTTCTAACTGGTAGAAGGTCACACACTGGCCATGTATTGAGTTGCTGGGTGCCTTCCCTAGTGGACAACGCATTTCTCAGGGCAGGGGCTCCACACCTTCCCTCCCTAACTCTTCCTGCCTCCCAATCCCTCCCTTCGGGCTTTGTCTTTAATTGGAGCTTAAACATGAAGTAGAGTAGGATAATTTTATTGTACAATAACAGGATAAATGTCTTTGTCTGAATGGATAAATGAACGGTCTATATCAGAATCACTTTCAGAGCTTGTGAAAACACAGACCTCTCGGTTCCCCTTCCAGATATTCTGACTCAGTATCCTGGGTCTGGGCCAAGAATTTGCTTTTCTAACAAGCTCTCAAGCAATATTTCTGTTGTTCAGGGACCACAGTTTGAGTACCACAGACTCAATGAATTTATTTCCTGATGTTCTCACACTGATTGATTGTAGGTGGTGCTCATAGGATAATACCCTTATTTTCTGTAGAGTTTATTTTTTGCTGTCCTTGAGGCCTGGGCTTAAAAAAAAAAAAAAAAAAAAAAAAGCTTCCATCAGAAATTATTATGGCATCGATTTCATGTACCACTTTAACTATTTTGCAATATTATTGGTTGACTATGACCCAATAATTGAAGCCCATGTAGTGAGCTAGTGCCCAGGATTAGAACCAGAGCGATTTCACTTTGTAACAGAATAGAGATTCACTTTGCAGTCTATCTACTTGGTCTGTCCAGTGGATCAAGGCTGACGTAGGGTGGCCCGTTGGCCTTGAATGCTTGTTAGTGCGCTGATGCTTTTCCTTTATAAAGTGTTTCAGAAGCAGCTATAGTAAAAGAAAATGATCTACACACATCTGAGGGGTAGTTGTAGTGAAATCACATAATCTCACAGTATCTGTGGCATGTGTTTTCAGATACCTGCATCCTCTCACGCTCTGTGAAGCAGTTCTAAAAACACTCTATCCTGAAAGATTCAGTCCTTCAATAACTATCCAGGAAATAAAGAGGTACTGTTGCAATTGACTCTTTCACTGAAGTGTGTCATTTTCTAGGGTCAGGCATCCTTGCTCTTCTTCTCTAATCTGATCTTCCTTCTGCTCCTCTCCACCAGCCTCTAGAAGTATCGTTTTATGATGATGGAAGCCCCTTTGTCCATTCTGTGACGGAGGCGGAGCGATGCTGACCTTGGAATCCTGGACCCAGTCCAACTCAGGTAATCCTACTGTGCCTTCCCTTCCCCAGCCTGCCACACCTTACATAGATTATTACATTGAATAAATGGAATACTAATGCTATATTTAAATGCACATGCCAAATTGATTGTTTCTCCACCCATTGGCTTCAGTCTCTGCCTCCTCCTCCCAATCTTAATGATCAATCCATGTAGCTGATCAGACTGACAATGTGGTCAATCCAATTTAGACATTAAGATGATTGAAAACATTGAATCACATCTTTATTTAAAATTCTGGTGTGTCTCTTAGATGCACAAAGCAACCAGAACAATGCTGGGAATTTTCCTATGGAAACTTGTGTCTCTAAATTAGCGCCTCTCTCATAATACCATATTTGATTGTTATTATTCTTTCTAATGTTGTGTCTTTTAGTTGTGTTCAATAAGTATTAGCGAATATCTATAATGTGCTCTTGAGATAGATGGGGGTAAAAAAAGAATAAGACTAGTGCCTATCCTTGGGGAACTCATGGTCTTGCCAAAGATTCACAACTAGAACATGGCAGACCACTGGGTCCAGCGTAGGTGGGGCTGGACATCTTGGCCCTCATTTCAGGGAAATGACAAATGTCCAGATTGAGACTGAATAGTTAGGGGATAATTGCATGGACCAAGAAGGGTCTCAAGTGGCTTTGTCTCCAGTGGTCTTTTGCCAGGCCAGACAGAGGGAGTAGGGGTGACATGGCGCCTTGGTGGGAAGGTGGGAATGACCCCGCTGGGATCTAGGTGGCAAGGCCCTGGCTGCCTGTACCACAGTATTTGGAGGACCATGATCCTGGGTCCCAACCAGCATCAGAGCCTCAGGGCCTGGATCCCTTAATGATAATGGAATAGAGAAACCAAGGTATCCCCATCTGCCCTATTACAAAGGGGCCCTGGCTGGCAGAGTCTTTCTGGGGACAGCAGCCACTGTTGCCCAGCCCTGGCTCGTCTTTTCAGCCCCTCTGGGCTGGTCCACATCCTCCCCTGTCTGTCTACCTCACTATTTATTCTTCCCGTGCCCAGGTGCTTTCTTCCCCCCCAAGCACTGCCCGACATTCCTGGCTTGATGAGGCCCTGGGATGCACCAGGGACTGTGAGATCAGCACCTGGTACTCACAAGCTTTGACGGTGAGCTGGGAAGCAGAGCTGCAGGGTAGGAGGCCAAGGACCTGAGTTTGTAAGGTGACGAGGGAGGAGGCCATCTCTAGAAAGTTTTGAAAGCCTGTATCTAAGAGAGTTTCAAGGCCAACACTGGGGCCACAGTCAGAGATAGGGAGCCAGGTGCTCTGATTAATTTAGGAATCAAATCCTGCCCATACCCAGCTCTTTGTCACTGCTGCTTTCTCTGGTTAAAGCAGCAGTGCTTTCCTAGGTCTTTGGCATCAGAATTGCCAGCTGAGATGCTCACTTTTCCAGTCAGGCAGTGCCCTGCCGTGCTGCCTGCCTGAGCATACTGGGCCGGAGAACACATGCCCTCGCTAACTGAGGAACTCCAGCCTTCTGAAATCACAGCCCCAGTCACCAGCCAGAAGGAAGTGGAAGAACTAGAATAACAGTATTCGTGCTTCCTTCCCACAGATGAGAGTTGCCCCACCTTTGCTGAGCCTCTGCCAAGGCTTCATACTCTACATTGGGCCCACTGGTTGAGGGCAGTCCTCTGCCTGTTGGTACCTGACAGGCAGACAAAGAAGGGTTTTGACATTTTTAAATGGTTGGAAAATTTTTAAAGAAGATTAATGTTTTGTGCCTCAGAAGAATTCTATGGAATGCCAGGTGTGGTGGCACATGTCTGTAATCCCAGCACCTGGGAGGCTGAGGCAGGAGAATTGCCACAAATTTGAGGCCAGCCTGGGCTACATAGTGAGTTTAAGGACACTCTGTCTTGACACTGTCTCAAAAAAAAAAAAGAATGCTATGGAATTCAAATTTCAACATCTCTAAATAAAGTTTTATTGGAACACAGCTGTGTCCATTCATTTCTGGATTATCAATGGCAGCTTGTGCACTGCAGTGACAGAATTCAATAGGTACCATAAACTATTCATCAACTGACAGAAGTTTGCTGAGCCCTGGCCTAGGCAATTCTGTGACATATGCATTTGCAAAATTTGAGGTGTAGGACTTTTTCCCCATTAAGGAAATAGGACTGAAGGATAAGTAGGGTTAGAATAGGACTGAGAGGAAGGAATGGATTTTCTAGACTGAGATAGTGAATCCATCACACTCTAGTCCCCTTTTTCC